GCATTTCGTATAGTTGAGGGATCAAAAAAGTGCAAAAAATTGTTAAGGGACCAAAAATGTGCAACTCACTAAAGTTGAAGGACCAAATTTAGCATTTAACCTATAAAGAAATATTACTCTTTCTATCTTAAATTAATTGTTGCTTGTCATTTTTTTTTAACTCATAAATTTTCTTTTCTACTTAATCTTATAGTTATCACTTAACTTTAATTATTTACATTATTACTAAAATTTTTATTTATATTTTTTTAAGGATAATATAGATTATTATATAAATTATCTAAAATTCTTTTTTATTTTTTGACAAATTATCTAAAATTCTTAAATATTTGAAAAAGCGAAAAAAAAAAGGAGGGGAAAGTATTTTGGGATTAAACGTTTGTCGCTTGAAAGTTGAAACATGTAGTGGAGAATTGGAATCCATTTTAAGCTTTTGACAGATTGTCTAACCAGAAACGTGTTTATCTAAAAGACATGAGATAGAGACAAAGCTAGCTAGGCCTGGATGGATGTGTGTATCATTTTCATCACATCACACTCCGTTATTCGACCTTAGTACCTCAGATGAATCATATAACAAACTCCAATTAGATCTTATGATTAATTCCATTTCTCACGTAAATTCCAAAGTCTATTGTCTGTACTTTCCATCGACTCTCTTATCCGGTTTAGTTATACGTAACCCCCAAAGCTATTTTAAGACAAAACCACACTTTGTGTCGAAGCAACGGTTATACGTCGTCTTTGTTAGTGAAAATGGAGAATCATCCGCTCCAAGTTACCTATGAAAATAGAAAACTTCATTAGGAATTGTCCAAAACGGACCCCAAATACCCAAAAATAGAAATGCTTAACCACCAAACTACAACTCCCAGCATCACCTTAACTTGGATACCCTAAAAACCATTTTTCTACCAAGTCTCCTCTTTGCAAAGCAATGGATCAAAATAAAAGACAATAAAAGCATCAAATTGACACCCTACATTAAAAAAAAAAAAAAAAAAAAAAGAAGAAGAAGAAGAAATCCTTCCCCTCTTTTTTTCTTTACCTATATATATCATTCCCCTTGGAGCTGTTCCTCAAACAAGAAAACTTTGTTTTTCTCCACATTTCCTTTTAATTTACCCTTTTTTCTCTTGGAAGAAAAGAAATGCATTTGGGAGAAAATATTGATAGCCTTCGAGACCTGGAAGAAGAAGAGGAGGCACTTTCTCTCTGTGAGCTTCCGCTAGACAATGAAGAGTATGATGAGAAAGGCGTGGGAAAGACAGTCACGCAAGGTCAGTTATCGTCTGAGACGACGGAGTTCTTCAGCTTCCTCAGCGACCTCAGCATTGATATGTGTCCGGCTGATGATATTATCTTCTGCGGTAAACTCGTACCGTTAAAAGATCAACATGTTGTTCAACCCCAAAAGATTAGAAATTCTTTTAAAGATGATAAGAAGTCATCGTTCCGTTATCGCAAGCGATCGGAGTCTCTTTCCGACCTGCAAAGCACCGCCATGTCTCGTTCAGACAGCATGACGAGTGACAGGGTTTTGAGGAACAGTCGTTCTTTGGATTATCAGAAGCTTCACCGGATGTTGAGCTCGAACTCATCCTCCCCGGATCCATCAATGGACCGGAATTCATCGGGGAGGAGCCTGGGAAAATCCGATGCCAATAAAAAGGCGGTGATGAAGCCACGTTGGTACGTACTCATGTTTGGAATGCTAAAATTCCCGCCAGAAATGGAGCTCAAGGATATCAAAAACCGGCAATTCCGACGAATTCCGGCCGTTATGTTCCCTCCAGTACTGGATGACTCCAAGAAGCCTCCCCCTAACCGGAGCTCCGGCAAGACGGCTTGGCGATTCCTCAAGGCACTGAGCTGCAGGGATCCAACTAGTATCGAGACAACGCCGTCGTTTTGCATGCCACATGCGTAAGTTTTTGTCACGTGCTACAGAAGTTGTCCTATTTACCCTCGTATGTGTACAGAAGATGGAAAGAGTAAAAGGGGTCTTTCGGTAAAATCATTAAAAATCTGGAGTTTTAGATCTACAAAACCATCATGGTCCTGATTCATGGCTTCACTTAGAAGGAAGGATGATGTACAGTGGCGGTGCATGGGTGATGATGAAAGCCCACTGGGTCACCCTCAACAGGATGCATGATTTTTTTTTTTGTTCTGAGTTTCTTGCTTTCTTTGTTTCTTTTATTTATTTTTTCTGGGTTTGTTAGGTGGGCATAGAATGAATGATAGTCACGAGACTTCCGACGGTGAAATTATAGATCTTTGTTATTTATTTATTTTTTTTTTGGGATTTGGATTTTTGTTTTTATTTTTATCTGGTAATTGGTGGGTTTGATTTTGATAGAATATTTTTTACTATATAACAGAGAATATGTATACATGTATGTATGAGTTATACGTACTTTTCCTTTATAAAATGATTATATATGTATATTATGTATAAGAGTCATATTTACGCTACCTCAATAGGAAGAATTACCAACTTAAATAAAGACTTTAGTTTCTTATGTCAATGTTTTTCAAATTCATAACCATCCATTATGATATTGGAACACGCATGAATTTTATTCTGCTCTCGTTTATTGCTTTTTGTGAAGAAAGACGGTGTTAAATTGAGTGAAAATGGGATAAGCAATATTACAAAAATGAAAAATTTTAGGGTTTTTTTTATTTTTGGTGAAGAAAGACATTGTAAAATTTAAAAAAGAGGTGGTTTATAATTTATTTTTAATTGGGCATTAAAGATGCTATGGTTGAGTGCTTTTTTTT